CGTGTTGCTGTTATTTACGCGTATTTGAGAACACATTCGACGTGCATTTTTATTCTTTTGCCCTTAAGAACCATTAATGAATCCTTAATGAACGAAACAGCCATATGGTGCGATAAATGTTTGACTTCCTGCATAGAACTACTTAATTTTGAAATGGTGCTTCTTACTTTGTATTTCTGTTGAATATGGCCAAACTCATCCGATATTGTTCTGTAGATAATCAGCCTGAAGGAAGTCTGAGTGGGACAAATATCAACTATCAAAAAAGTTACGAAAATGTTTCATGTACACTTAATAAGTAAGAAATAAACAGGAATCTGGTTTACTAATTTTTCATTGATAAACAAAATATATTCCATTTCGTATTTTTTTAACATGAGCAATATAGTTTTGGGTAAAGGCAATGTATATAATTTTGTCAGAGATAAAAAAAAAACCAATGAATATTATTCCGTCTTGTAAATATAGAGTGTGCCTTTAAGTCACAGGTAGGTATAATATAAATAATCTCGTCACTTGTAATCACTGGGTATCATTAAGTTACTGGATAACATAACATTACTAAATAGTTTGTGTTGTGTTTCATTACAATGCGATTTAATGATGAATGCAGCAATACAACTTTCAAAATCGATCTCTGTTAAGGTGTTTAGACGGAATTCTTAAATGTCTGAACGACTACTTTGTTTGTATGAAACAATTCCTAGTTTGATCGTTTGTTTGAGTGGTTTGTTTGTTTAGATGTAGATGTACACGTGATATATATGTCTAAATGGCAAATATATCTATGTAAGTGTATAATGTACCAGTTACTAGTTCGTTTGTTTAGATGTAGATGTCGTATGATTGATATATCTGAACGGCAAGTTGATGTAAAATGTATCTAAATGTATTATGTAACAACGATTAGCTTGTTTGGATGGTCATTTATTTAGATAAAGTAACGATTGGTTTGTTGTTTGAATTGCTGTTTGTTCGCAAGAACAAAAGATTAGATAATTGTTTGAATGTTTGTTAGATTAGTTGTTCCAATGATTACCTATTGTTTAAAGAGTTGTATGTTTAGATAAAGCAACGATAAGTGTGTTGTTAGAATATAAGCTATCTCGATTAGCTTGCTGTTTGAGAAAACAATATACATATCCATTAATAACGATGAAGAAGAAGTATCTTCGGTACATTCAGGGAACCACACATCTATACTGGTGATCATATAACGAATGGCTCCTAATGTTACTTGAAACACTGCATATAACGATATCTTGAAGTATAAGTATTTGAAGTCCGATTTTATGCTCTCACTAAACATGATCTTTTACAGTCATAATTTATATCAGAAATCTAGAGTTTATGTTTATTTTATATCGCCGGCTGGCATAGCTTTGATTGACTTTGCACATTGCAAACAATGGTGTCGTATGTGCCAGCGATCAAAATCAAATTTCAAATTCCCGGTTAGTATGCCCGGTTCTAGGAGGTCGCGCTGTTTTGAAACCTAGTAATAAGCTCCCAGATCAAATTATTAAAACAAATCATATCTAATGGAAGCAATGTATTTGAGTACATAACTGTGAATGTAAATGTAAATTCCAAGTAAATGGAAGTATCAACATTTCAGTGGTGTTACGTCAAGGCGGTGCATTAAGATTAATCGGGAATTTTCGGATGACAATGTATAATACCGGGTGTCAAAGCATGTTTTCAACTTTGATACGTTTGAACATCCCGGTATTGAATATGATTATATTTCAACGTTTCTTTAAATATGTCACAAATATAATACATATTTGCTCTATCTGTTATTTTATAATAATATACAGCATTTATATAGCGCCGTATATAATTTGTAAAATTACTCTAAGGCGCTTTACAACATATGGATAATAGTAATTTTCTTTGTGTGTCATTAATGGACCATTTGTTTTTATTTCTTATTATATGTATTTATGCATTAATGCATATTTAAGTTTAAAAAAACATCTACGCATGGTTTTTTTTAAACCCCATCCATTTACGTGAAAATTATTTGGTACTTATATTAATCTCGTTACGCTATAACATAAGAAAGATAGCACTGTGATTTTTTAATTACAAAGAATATCATTCATTGTATAATTTGTTTATTTTCTATAGATTTGTCTCCTTCTGAATCCAGTAAATAGTTCGAAACATCCTTATATTTTTATATGCTTTCATAGAAAAACAGCGTTTTCTTTATAACTGCTCCTAAATACGTATATTTTCCACTTATGTTGACTTCTTGCCATATTGTACACCGTACATATGTTTTTTAGTCATCTGGATCGAGTAGTCACATTATACGGGGACATATGTTACACTAAACGTCCTCCCTTAATCCAACAATGCTAGACACAATTCGTTTAATAGAACAGTTACGGATTATGATTGTCAGTCCACAGATTTTTATTGCCATATCAAAGATTCCTATTGATTGAAAACTTATTTTATTATTAAAGTAATAAATTCAGAACGATTTTTTTTTTCCTTTTTTCTTTTGGATTAATTTGTTTAATTTATAAGTACTCTTTCCATTAGAAGAAAGTGATAATATATGGATAAACCATTGAAACGTGTTTGATACATCAGCATTGATTTCTGAAACAAAACATAGTTCGATTGTTTCGGTAAACGAATTTCTGGGAACAATCTTCTTATTGCAGTACTTCTCTTTATTTAACTTATATACCCAGGTTTTGTTGCCTCAATATATTCTTATACTTACAATAGTTGTAATATGATTCAATGCAGTGTAAGAGCGAATATTTAAGTCACTGCAATCGCAAAATAGCAGATGAAAATATTTGAAAACTGATTCCGGAAATCAATTTCAAAACATTTTAAAACAGTATATTTATTATTGCACAACTATCCTCCATCCTAATTGTTAAATGGTTACAAATGATTTATTCTATTTCGATTTATTTTTTTATTATCATTTTATTTTCAAAGCTAAATTGTTTGCTTAGAAAAAGTTTAAAAACTAAAACATGATATTTCTTCAATATGCTGGGTCATTTCTTTTCGTTACTAATATGAACATGTTTTTAAAACTCCGTCCGACAATGCATAAACCGCTAATGTTCTACTGTTCGCAAAATATCTTTTTTAGTGGTATTGAAGTATTAGAGTAATTATGTTTGAAATATCGCATTTCAAAATGATAATATAAAGTACATAAAATGGTGATATTTCTAACTGAATCAATAAATCATCACATTTCCTTCAAATTGAATTGAGACTAAAATTGAATGGGTGCAGTTTAATAATTAACCTAAAATTAACCTACTGTTTTTAGAAATTACTTGATAGTCTAAAAGGCTTAGCTGTAAGTCCCATTACTACGCATTATTGTATAATTAATAGAAACGAATAATGCATTTTTAAAAATTTCATTGAAAAGATAATTAATCATAATTCGGTAAGTTTTATTGTTTTATTTATTAATCTATTGTTTTTTCCCACGTTATTTCTTTGTGAAAGATTGTTTGCATACAATGAAAGTGACATGACTAATTCATGTTGTTTGTGTTGTCCCGATGATGTCAGGTATTCATTTAATGTTCATCAACTTACAAACCTCTCTCCTACAAATTTAATAATAAAAATGTGAACACTTGCAAACATATTATTACCTGCCAAGTTATGAGTAGTTTAAGTGAAAGAAACAAATATGATATGTCCCCTGACATGAACTTATTCCTAACTGGTAAGGTGTGTACAACAGTAAACTAAACTGTTGTTCTCCATTTATTACATACAATGCCAATTAAAATAATGTTAAAAAAATGAATATTTCGTGTGCAAAATGTATAATAATTATGGAAAATTGATTACTTTTTAGCTTAAAAAATCATCACATTTCCTTCAAATTGAATTGAGACTAAAATTGAATGGGTGCAGTTTAATAATTTGTTTTAAACATGCTAGAAAAAATAACCAATAGGTGTTTTTGGAAAATTAACATATTAAGGTTACATGTAGTTTGGTCCTAACTTCGGGCTTACATTAGTATATGGCAGATAAGTGGTAAATTAAATATTTACAGTCCGTCATGATATGAGTTCGTCATTTTCAAAATATTTTTATATTCTATATATCATTTATTGGGAACAAATGCCAAGCATGCGGAACCTATTTCAAATACAAGTATTACATATTTTAGGTTCTCCATAATTTTTTTATTACTAACACTTTAAATATTTCTAATGATCCAAGCTTGAATTGTTTGTTTACTGATATTTTTTTAGAAGTTTTAAATCCATGTGTTTTATATATTTCTTATGTGGATTAATCGATGTTGATATAAACTGCGATTAATGGCGAAAACATATTTTAATACTTGTATATGTTTATGATTTGTTACAATAAATGTAGCTAAATTAATAAAATCATATATAATTGAGATTTACGATCAATAGGCAAACGGTATAATTACATACCCATTCGTGTAACTTTAAATCTAGAAGAAGAAGTGTTAAAAAAGTATTTTTTGTATATGATTCTTATTTTTTGTATGTATATAGGATTAAATTATTTCGTCAATAAGTTTATAGGATTACGGTAATGCAGTTTATATAATTTTGTAGAACCGGTGAATAATATCCTCTAAATTTTATGGGGAATATTTAACTATATTTTAAATGTCACATTATTTTCGTTAAGTTAAATCTCAAAAAGGGGGCTTTATATAAGCTTAAAGATATGTAGAGCTTTATAAAATAATTGATTGTAGACGTAATGAATTCAAACTGTGTAGTGTTTGTTCAAAAACACATGGCATTTATATTATTGAACCTTGCTATATCACGTGGACTGTATAATATGCCTTTGTTGAAACATCCTTTGGACGTACAAATTACCAGACCCCATGTGTAACCCCGCTAATTGACATGCATGCTATACGATACTATATATATATGTATGCTATTATATTACACTTTCGAGAGTTGATAGAGTAAACAGGGAATAAAAAGGTTTACCTTCACTCAATACAAACCTTCCTGGTGATCTTGCCGTCTTGATTCCACGTTGCTTATGGGATACGAATATCTGTAATTTGAATGAGCCTCGCCAACTGCGGTGGAATTCTGGGATATGCTTTTTACAATTGACGGAAACTTCCGACAATTACCGATACTGCTCCGTACTATGTGAACTTTCTCACGTTTCATTCATAACATTTTTTATCAGTAAAAACTCGTGCGTGTGGGAGTGCTGTGTTAAAAGGGGAGATAATCCTATTTGACCGATTTAAACGTTGTCTGGCGGTTGTAAATGATGAATTTCTGTGAGCCGTCAAAATAAAACGTTGTTTTTTTTAAATTTTCAAGTTGAATCATGCGGCACATAGAAATGTATACACGTTTACTCCCCATATTGAGTTTAATACTACGTAAATATTTAAACATCCAACAATGAACTACTATAGATACGCATTGTTTTGTCAAGGTCAGCCCAACGCCTTGAGATACAGGTAGTGTGAGGATTATTTAAAGTACAACAGTGTTTACGTGGCTGGAAATTCTCGGTAGAGATAAAGATAATACCAAGTTCAGTGAAAGGGGGGCTTTTATTTGGGGAACTTTTCCAGTTTTTCTTCTTTGATGTTTTCATGAAATCACGTAACAGTGTAAGATTGTGAATTTATTAAAATACAACTGAATTTATTTATTTAAAGTCAGCTCACTTGTTTTCAAATCTTTTCGTATTTTTTATATACAGGATTACTCTTTGTTAACGACGATACATATTCACTTCATCTTACAAGTTGCTATCATTTTTTCTGCATACATTTCACCTTCACTTTTTATGTTATCAAAGACGGTTTTTCTGTCTTCTGAATAAGTATTTTGTAAATTCAATATGTGTCCTAACAAAAGCATATTCCAAAATTATTCAAACCAATAATACTTGCACTAATAGCAGACAAAAAATATTAAAACATCTTCTCGCTCACAGTCTACACGTACGATTGACATAAACACTCAACCATGCTCAATTTTCATAAACAACCGAACACACACCATTTACACAGAGACAGGACAGTTATTACATCGACAATGAAACACATATTATTAATATATAACATCTAACACTTTACATTAACTATCATACACACACTAAGAACACAAACATTTTTACAGAAAAAACAAATAAACATATTTAACACAAACAAACAAACACTTTTTTCTCAAACAATTAAACAAACACATTTTACATAAATAATCAAGCCCACACTTAATGTACAGGAACAATGGATTTTGCACTATTCATAAAGAATCGATAACAATCATGCACACACTTCCCAAATAAACAAACAATCAAGCAGCTTACATGTTTACGTTATCAAATACAAAACATTTTCAATCAAATACTCGCATTTTACTCAAACAATTAAACACACACTATTTACTTAAATGCATGCATTCTGTTGTCAATTGAAGTAGCATTGTATCAAATGGTATCAAGTTCCAACAAATGCTAATGATCTAATCTAATCTTCGAAAGAATAAAATAGTTCCAACATCTTCGAAAGGATCAAATAGTTGATATTTATATATATATTTGTTTTATTTAATAGTTTAAGGTTTCGTCTGAGCAAATAAAACAACTAAAATTATATTTGTTTTCTTTATTGCTTATTTTTTTTTAAGATATTGAAATAGTATTATTCACACCCAGATTAATTTCAATTTCAATTTCAACGTACTTTATTGATAATCATTATCAATTGGATTGAACATCATGCTTAAAGCATCTATATCAAAGTTATCTCCATATTACAATTCATTTTTATTCAAATAATATCTGGTAATTGTTAGATTGTATTGAGTAATAGTTTATAATGTGATAATCTATATCTCTTAGTTCTGTATCAAACAGAACGCAACAAAGTATGTATGATGTAAACAAAAACTACGCACTGTAGTTAATGTTTATTCTCGAAGATTAAGAAATATTCACACTGTAAAGTGACTTCTTAAACTGTTGACTACAACACTTATCATGACTTGGTTATATTACCTCAGACTCCATTATCTATAAAGAAAATCTCTTCTTCGGTGACTTTGGTTTAGTTTTTTTATGTTTTACGTCCTATTTAACAGCTATGGTCATTTAAGGTCGTTCCAGGCTTTTGTTACACTAAATTTTGAACTAAGTTTTGTCAGGTAAATATGTTGAAGTTAAGTTGGTGTTTTTGTCTAAAAACAAATCATATGTACCTATAAAATATGAAAAACCGATAACTTTAGATGTGACCATCCTGTGTGTTTGCATAGCTTACCAATACTTACTATAGAGGGTAAACGACAGCACAGTCTGTTCAATATAGGCGGATTAAATGCGTACATAAATGATGCATATAACTATGTAACTGAATATTTATAACAATTTGTATCATAGAATTTGGGAAGACACGTGGCAGTTTAGTAGCGAAACAATTATTATATTTCATATGCAATTAATGTTAAATGGATACCAAGACCAGCAAGATCCCTATGATTTATGACATAATTAATGTCGTTTGCTTTTGCCTTTTTTCGACATAATAAGGGAGACTTGATCATGGCGTGGGATGTTTGTACACAATTTATTATTCATATCATTTTCACTGTGGAAATTAACACACACAGGACAAATATTATAATGGGTGAATATTTCATTCGGCGAAAGTGTCTGAGTATCCATTATTCAAAGCATTTTCACTATGGAAATTAACACATATTAACACAGGACAAATATTATAAAGGGTGAATATTTCATTCGGCGAAAGTGTCTGAGTATCCATTATTCAAACCATTTTCACTGTGGAAATTAACACACATTAACACAGGACAAATATTATAATGGGTGAATATTTCATTCGGCGAAAGTGTCTGAGTATCCTTGTATCCTTTTATTATCTATTGTCGGTTGCTTCTGTGAAGGTACGAATGTGTATGAAACATAAATATTGATGATAAAAACATCTAGAGTGTATATATAATTGATTCGTTGATGTGCAGGTAAAACTGTTAATACAATGTACAATACTATATAGCTCATGAACTACAAAACCTTACCTGATTTGTTTACAAAACATCCAGTAGAAAATTATTTAATATCCATTGGAATGATGTTGAAATATATCCATGAACAAAGACATTTGATTTATATTTCTTGTATTATTTAGCACAAATAGGAGGTAACAAAAGAGCAATGCTCTTTGAAAGTAGTTGGTAGGTTTGTGGTGATCATTTTGTATTCAAAATTTACATGTGACTTATATTACTTTATTTAAGCCATGACAAGAATGCATTCTCCTATATAATTGTTCATCACTTTAAAAGATATTGAAGAATCACTTTTCTGCGCATAAATATATTGGCACTCCCTGTGGTGAGGAAAATAATCTTCGCGCTCCTTCAATTCCAAACTAGATGTTTATCGGAAGATAAACCGATTTAATCAAACAACCCACTCATAAACTTTGAATCTGCGCTCAACGTAAATCCAGATTTTCTTCTGATAGTGTAAGATTTATTTTGCTGTTAAATCTAGGACACCTCCTTTCATGGATCATCTTTTATCGTCGCCAAAATATACTTGTTTGACTGTGTATGCAACCAGGTATCTCTCCAGTCTTCTTAATGCAGCAGAGGTCTGTTATCTGTAAGGTAAATAGGAAAGTAATGGTTTGATGTCAAAATTAAGGATAGCCGAGTGTGTGCGGTTTTATCGTCTGCCTGAGACTACTTAAATATTCATATCGTTTTATAGGCAGCTGGTCATTCTTTCTTATAATATTTGTTCATATCCGTACGATCTATGACGGACAAAAAGGCATATGCAATTTCATAACAGGAAATTGAAAAAAAGCAGAATAATAAGGTTTATGATTTAAAATATTCCAAACATATTAACAGCAAAAACCTTGTTGCCTATATTCTGGTTGAAATTTATTCTGTTGAAACCAAACCTGCGAACGTCATATATCATTTCATTGATTATTTACGAAACACAGGTAATTAATACTAACCACTACCTTATTTCAGCACTAAAAGCAGGGAAAACAAGTACAAATTGACATGAATAACAACACAAAAGAACATTTTATACAGAGTGTTATAACCAAAGGTCAGTAAACCATGGCGTCAACACACAAAGACCATACCCAGACAGGGTCAAAATATACCAGTGGTAATACACAGGGACAAAATATATCAGTGGTAATACACAGGGACAAAATATACCAGTGGTAACACACAGGAACAAAATATATCTATGGTAATACACCAGGACAAAATATACCAGTGGTAATACACAGGGACAAAATATATCAGTGGTAATACACAGGGACATAATATATCAGTAGTAATACACAGGGACATAATATACCTGTGGTAATACACAGGGACAAAATATACCAGTGGTAATACACAGGGACAAAATATACCAGTGGTAATACACAGGGACAAAATATACTAATGGTAATACACAGGAACATAATATACCAGTGGTAATACACCAGGACAAAATATACCAGTGGTAATACACCAGGATAAATTATACCAGTGGTAATACACAGGGACAAAATATACCAGTGGTAATACACCAGGCCAAAATATACCAGTGGGAATACACCAGGACAACATATACCAGTGGTAATAAACCAGGATAAATTATACCAGTGGTAACACACAGGGACAAAATATCCCAGTGGTAATACACCAGGCCAAAATATACCAGTGGGAATACACCAGGACAAATTATACCAGTGGTAACACACAGGGACAAAATATCCCAGTGGTAATACACAGGGACAAAATATACCAGTGGTTATACACAATTACATTATCTACATTTTCTTTCGTGGAGAAGAGCTTGTAAGTTGTTAGAACTTGTCTCTCTTTCATTTGTCTGTTTCGACAATAAAATATGTTTAAATCACATCTACAATATCGTCAATACAAAAAGGAAAATATGCCACAGGTATAAATAAAGGGGATGACTTCATGAACCCCCAAAAAATCCATAAAGTACATTCATGAATTACCAGTTACAGTAGCCCCGTAGAGAGTCTTAATGTTTGTAATGTTGTATCATGTAATGTAGATATAATAGCTAACATATCATGTATAGAGGGTGAAAACCTTTTTTAAACATTAACTCTTGGTATTTTTAAATAAAAACCAATGGTTACTATTAAATTTATACATTTTGGAGTGCAGAACGGGGTCAGATGTGAAGGTTATTTACTTAAGTATTGATATAAAAGCTTAACATTCCTCTTAACATTTTTGTATTAAATGTTTGCTTTAGTTTTCTTACTGTTTTTTTTTTTCTTTTGTTGATACACATGAGAACAAAATTTCAGGAGAGGTTATATGCGAATTTATTCAGTTCAAAGATGTATTAGATGCATACACTATTACGCTACAACAAAATAAGAAACCCATTACTCCGATATATCAATACTATCTTAACATGCAATATCGTCTTCAGATAATGTTACAGTAGCCCCGTAGAGAGTCTTAATGGTTGTAATGTTGTTTCATGCTATGTAGATATAATAGCTAACATATCATGTATAGAGGGTGAAAATCTTTTTTAAAAAATAACTCTTGGTATTTTTAAATAAAATATCCCGAATCTGCTCCTGTAATCAATGTTGCACTGTGTTAATATCTTTAGTTACGTATAACGGTCTGATCAGGACCTATCTCAAAGCTTGTTATGTAATATGCCGAACGCTGTTGATATGCTAGCCAAGTGTTGGACCACACAGCGGCCCCGGAACATTTCCCCTGTGTACTCGTACACTGTTAATTTTCTGACTAGCTTACTTATATTACTGTCACTGCCACAATCGATGTTTCCCTTTCCTCGTCAAGCTTTCACATATCCACTTCACATGTATACATTTTAAAAGTTCAAAATTCAAATTTATGTCTGTCAAAAATATTGATCAACAAAAAAGTGCAGTCTGAAAATTCCAAAAATATAGTTAAGTTGACAGATCTTTCAATACTTTCTCCCACGAGGCCAAGCCTTTAATTTAGCCCCCCCTTTTACGTAATTAAGATGCACAATGTAATGTTTTTATTACACAAACCTTGTGATGTTACTTATTTGCCCTTAAGTGCATGTTTAATCTGTTCACAGTGCATAGCAAGGCTACTTTTATTGTGCAGACAGGAGGTCGCTCTCCTCAGCACAACCTTGATAAACATCGTCTGCTACTTTCACCAAGGCAGACTCGAAATTTAACTCCATTCAAATAATGAATTTTATAGTTGTGTTATGTCACAAGTGCTAACATTGCCACAGAATTATCGGAGTTATATTATGTTATGCTTTTTTTGAGATAATAAAAATTGTATTGTTGTATTCAGATTTGGTACATGTATGTGTGTATAGCTACACAATAAAGCTCATACGATATAATGTTTTCGTATATGGCAGCGGCGTCTACATAAATATGGCAGCGGCGTCTACATAAGTATGAATAGTAGTTGCTTATTTATATTATTAGCTTGTTGCTGATAAATTTCTTTAGAAAAATAAATCATTGATACTTAAATATCATTTTACCATTGCACTCAGTACTTTTTTTGTCTTTCAGAAAAAAATGATCGAAATGTCTTGACCACTACTTTATATACATAACCAATGTGCAAAGGGTTACTTGAAAATACAATTGTTTTGTTTGTATGATTATTGTTCTAAATAATTCACCTATTCCAAAATCACATAAACACAATAAACGTGATATGATTACGTTTGCATTTAAAGTTTACTTTGTAGAAATACCTTTTTATTATTTTATCTTTACAACCCTTACAGCTGGTAATCGACACACTTTATATGTAAATAAACTCATAGCTAAATGGTGATATAACAAATTGATATGACAAACACTTGAAAGTAATTACAAAAAACAATAACTTACCTGATAAGGTAAATACGGTGTCTACTAGCTGTCGCGGTAGGTGTAAGGCTACGTCAATTATCAACATAGAAATGTATCGCCCTACATCAACGACAGGAACGACACATGAAAACGACAAGAATCTACGCAGTTTGTAGTATTTACGTCATCCTTACACTGGATTGGTAGATCTATTTTCCTTGACCTCTTTATTCCAGTGTTATCGAGGGAAAACTCAGCCATGTAAACATTTACAGTTTGCATTGGCAGCTTAACCTAATAATATAAAGTCATGAATTTGATTATTGCATTGTATTCAAACACATGTATATCGTCATATTGAATTGAAGAGGACATAGCCAATGCACTTTGACAACTTTGAGAAATAGTATACCTTATACAAAATTTTCAACCGATTGTTTTTTGAAGAATTATTTAGACATTTACATGTGTGACAACACTAACCGTCTGACTATGTTTAAGACTCGTTTAAAGTTGGAGAAGGAGTGACAACTTGTTTATATGGTTAAATTTAGGTTTCTAGGTCACGGAATGCAAGGTGACTAACGTATCAAGACTTAGTCTAAATTACGAGACTAAAATATATGGATGCAGTAACATGATTATGACATAGTTATGTGGTTTTATATATAAAGTATTTCAGTTATAGCTGACAGTGCAGACGAACTTATTTGTCAAGTTGTAAGACAGCAGTCTGCCTTTTAATAAGGAGAGTACAACTGTACTAATGTATGACACAGTCACGACAGCAATCTATGCAATATACCACTGAAATATAAGGTAAAATATCAACAAATAAAAACACATCCTGCAATACAATTTCAACGCCGTTTATGTTCAAGGCTGGTATGGAACTCACTGGGATTGAATGTAGTGCATAGCAAAAACCATAGAGAACGCAATAGTTTGAGCGACAGACTGTGTCAAATTTTAACAGCAGCCTGCTTTCATTTCCAGACATGACATAAAATACCTAGCCATGAAACAGAGCTTTGTAGAAATACGGTGTAATAGGGAAGTCTGAGGGAGCCCAGACTGTGTCGAGGAGGTACCAAACTGTATACACTTGCTGCCTCGACACGCAGTTATATTACATTCTGTGATGACAGCTTGACTTAACAAAATGTTTTGTTTTTTAATAAACGTTCATGTGATATTAACATGCGATCATTTTCATACCGTAACAATTAATGTAAACAACCCGCATCATCGACTGTAAATAAGTTGCGTGGCTTATATACTCATTATAAAAGATGCCTGAGCATACATGAATATGATAGCTGTAAAATCACATATTCCAGTCATACATAGATATCAGTCCCATCCAGTTGATAAACGGGCGCTGGAATGACATAAATATTATCATATTAAAAACTTGTGTAAGTCAAAGATATTTCACATGCTTTATCATAATTATGTGTATGAATGTTAGCAATTACACGTAAATACATTGTAAGTCGACTATGTAAATTAGGTAAACGATGCCTGATTTTTCTTTATATTTTATATTTTTTTCGTATTTCAATAAACCTGTATATAATCCACGGTTCTACTTTCATTGCAAATATTTGCGTCACATAAGAAAAGGTAAAGTTAATAGCATTTAGATGTGGAAGGAAACTTTGTTTTCATACTGTAACCAACCGGCATCATCGACTTTAAATAAGGGGCGTAGCTTATATAATAACTTATACCTGTTGTCTGGTGTATATATCATAGTTGTTAAATCACACATTCCAGCCATAGCTACATATCAGTTCATCCGTTTGATAAACGGTCTCTGGAATAGCATAATTTGTTATTTATTGAAAAAATAATTCACAATGTCAATGAGGAGCAACAAATCTTATTCATTCTAAGGGGATGAATTTACACTCGATGTTCCAGAGCGTTAAATATATACAAGTTTTGATGAACCAAATGTAAGCAAAACCACATCCACTACACGTTAGACATACAGTTGTCTTAAAATGTATACAGGTGTATATGTTGACATATCACGTACACATATTATACAAAAAAACAGGTGCACATGTACATGTAAACAACCCTTAACAGATACAGGTGTTTTTGAATACTGATATGCATGAAACATACCCATATATACACTTACACATATCAACTAGTAGTATGCACACAGTGGAATATTCATACATGTGTATATGTACAAAAGAAAAATGCACGTGTGAAATATGTCTATTTTACTCATACAGGTGTATTTATGTACGAGTGAAATATTCCTATTTTAATAATACGTATTTTCTTTTGTTACAAATACAGGTGTTTTGTAAACACCTATTTTGATAATTCAGATTTCATGTGTATATGTGAAATTCACTTATAACCTCTTCCATGTGATCGTGGGTACATGTGCCTGAAATAAGTTTTTATTTTCATTATATATCCCTAGCGATATTTATTTTGGCGGTTTAGTAGTTTTAGTTTTAATCCAAAAGTATTTCAGGCGTCATATCTTCATATATTGCCACAGAGCCGTCAATGTACTATTGTTCAATGAAATATTTCACGAAGTAGGAAACCTCTCAGTGCTGAATCACGAATGGATAGTGTCCCTTATCATGATTTCCAAAACATGCGAGTTGCTTCCCCTGTAGTTAGTTTACTGACCTAAATTCGGAACATAGTTAACATATTTGTCGATTTATGTTGAATTGCGCTACTGTGAGTGGATAAACCGTCTTTCTAAATCAAGTTAAGCGGTCATTTCAGTTAAACGTGAGCCTTTGCTTAATATCCTTTTTTGTAGAGTGATAGATATTTGTTTTTAATCGTCGATAATGATTCAACATGTAATTGATGTATGTAACAATACAACCGATGTATTAGAATGGTAATTGGGAGATCTTGCTTCTGTTGAGGCATTCAATCCAATCTGCTGATACAATCTAATTGGCTATTTTCTTGGATTTATTAAACATATTTTTATTTGCATCTAATATACAAAAAGGATTGCGCACAAGTTGTCCAACTTATGTAAAGCTATTTTCTTTGAATATACACGTACTCATGTCATCGACTGTATACGTGTGTACTCTGTAACCTTCATCAGGCAAATGACGAGTAAAACGATAACACTATGAATTGATTATTGAGTACACCAAAATCAATTATTAGTAAAATTAATGTACTATCTGGTTAGAATGTGTGATAGTACAAATGATCCACTTATCTTCATTCGAAACTGGTCCAATGCGGCGTGTGTCCAGGTTGTTATTTTCATCTGCTGCAGGTTGGTTTCCTTTTACGAACTGCTGTGACATTTCCCCTTCTCATTAACACTCCGGGCTTCCCCGCAGGCGGCCGGGGTTTGACCCCGAAGTCGTCGTACGCATGGATATTCAGGGAAAGTGTTTTTCACCGGCCCACAAAACTCCAAAAACCCAGGTGGAGTATACATTGGTCTGGGGTGGATGTTGCGGTAACTGTGCTGTGGCATTCAAGTGAGGTGGCACTATAAACGATGCTGTTGAAGGCATGGCCCCACTACAAACAGAACACATCACATCTCCAGCACACACGCAGGCATTCACACATAATGTTAACAGAATAATGTTATATCAAAAAATCAGTCTGGCTTCCTTCCCAATGACTCCACAGTTAACCAATTAATATATTTATATGATGAACCTTCAAAACAACTTGATCAAGGAAAAGAGACAAGGATAGTATTTTGTGACATCAGCAAAGCTTTTGACAGGGTTTGGCACAGTGAATTGATTTACAAATTGAAGAAATATGGAATTTGTGACGACGTTTTGAACTGAATCCATTGCTATCTTACTGATAGACAACAAAGGGTATTAATAGATGGCTACAAGTCAAATTTACAAACATTAAAAGCTGGTGTACCCCAAGGCTCGGTTCTCGGGCCTTATTTATTTTTAATATTTATTAATGACCTAGAA